GTAATACATCTTTAATAATATTATTCCGCCTTATTTTCAGTTCTTTCTCTGGTACTTCATGATAAGTGTTTTTAATGGTATGTGCCTTACTTTTAATAGTCGTCTGGCATATAAAAGAACTTAGAAAAACCTCAGATCAATGATACATGGTCCATCGTAACCGTTGCTTTCTCAACGTATGTAAAATGTACACAAGTCATGACTATGTGTTTTTTTTTATTGTACAGAACAGAATTAAGTATTTCCGACCCAAGGCAATACCGTCCCTGATAATGCCGCCATTCGGATGAACCCTGTGCCGATGAACACAAGTTTTTTTTAATTTGTATACGTTTCAAAAACTGCTCCAGTTGAAAAATGTTTTTAATGCGACACCCTTCATATATTTCTTATAATACCGTTAAGGGGACGAATCAACTTCGTGAACGTACTTGATCAATTACGTCATCAACATGTGATTAGAGTCGGTCCGGGTAATTCCGTACACTTTTGGTCCTAAATGAATGTCATTTGGTTCCCTGTTTGATACTACAATGTTCTAGAAGGAAACCGGTAACTAGATCATTCGTAGATAGTATTAATTTTTGACTTTTTCCTTGCCATTCAACATAAAATATCGAGAATGAGCATATCGAACAGAAAAGTCACTGTTTCGTATATCGTACGGATGTCGTGTATTTCCGTACACCTTGATGTGTAATTCCGTACATTGATTAAATTCAAAATATGATTGCTAATTGGAAATGATTTGGACTAGTTAATTTATTACCAGGATCATCTTCAAGTCTTTCAATCTTCACTTAAATTCACAGTATCACAGCTCCATGTCGTGATGTAGATACTGGCAGTATTTTTGATAACGGAATACAACATTATAAACAGTCAAAGATAACTCAGTTAACTGCACTTTTGATTATATATTGGCAAATTGAGTATATATGCAAAAATTACAAAAGAAGGACCAAAAAGCAAGTGTCCCAAGATTTTTGTTTGAATTAAAGCTTCAATAAATTATTAGTATAAATTTAGATGTGATAATGACGGACTTGTGTTTCAGACAGTAACGTTACACACACACACACGCAGTAACGTTTAGATGCAAATAATACATGGACATCAGGGCGAGAACATGACGGTTTATGTGATATGCATGACTTTTAAGTTCATTGATAAGTGATATGAATATAGACCCTGTCTATAATACACTCATCCGGTTTTTAACGTTCTAGTTCAGTCCGAAGAAAGATGTCAACCTATTCAGAAAAGAATTTTAACTCTAAGCCAACCGGTCTTTACAATCAAGTCCCGCAATGTAAGCTGAGAGGCTGCAGCAGATTTTACTAATTTTAAGTCCTGAATTAAAGCATCATCTTCAATTGTCCCAGCAGCATTTCATGGAACATTTTCTAAATAACGTATACATGTATATTTAACATCTTGCATAGCTGTTTGTCAACTTTTTGTGGTATAGATTTATTGTTGGGGAGGAAAACTGACAATCCTAGTCAACTAATATTCGAACACACCTGCCATGCATGTGTGGGGTTTGAAGTCACAACCTTAGTGTTGACTGGCTAGCGATATATAAGATGAACTACTTAGACCACTGGGGCACAGAGGACCCTCGCATTTAAGGAGGAATAGTTTGCAAACACAACAACGTCTATCTCTATTAATCAAATGGCAGCGGACTGGTGGTTCTTAGAATAAAAAAAAAACATATTTTGACCTCTTTCTTCCCATATAGAATTGATGTTGTTTTATGTAATTTTTTTTTCTGTTGGTTTTATTTTGCAACTAATTTGATTATGTAACAAAAATCAATAATTAATATAAGCAAAGCTAAGTCAACATTGAAAATCTCTTTATCAATTAATGTATAACATATTTTAAGCTGGCGTGCACGATATTAGACTCCTTATATTTGCATGTTAAATACCCCTGTAGAGTAATACCGTACACATCCACTCCCAGTCCGTTTTATTGGAAATGATTGCACTTATACTACATCGAAAAGTATCTGTCAATTGCAAACTATTTCTGACATTCAGTTTCCATCAGTTTTCTTAATTTTGATTAAAGTAGAACGATCTTACATTAAATTAACCAAACTTAGAATTTACACAAATCTGGTGACTTTTTGGACGAGATCTTCTTTTCAAAACGCCCGCGAACAAAACTTTCCGACAAATGGCAAATGTGTACATATTCTATGATCATAGAAATGATGATAGAAAATCGTAAAAACATTAACATACAAGGTTGTACTTATCTTATTATCAGTAGATAATATTAAAACACACTTTATTTCTCAATTTTGTCAGAAAAACAAGCGAAATGCAATATGTACGATAATTACCCGCCTGTACGAAATTACCCGGATCGACTCTACGCTGCTGGAGTATCAAAATGGAAAATCCGATATGAAGATGTTTTCAGATAAGTATTTGATTTAACATATAATGATTATAAATATAATTTGTTGAGGCACTATGAAATTTTTATGGTTTTAATTTAAGCAAATCAACATCAGAAAGTTTGACAGCAAAAACTGAAAATAGATATTTATTATAATGAATAATTGGTGTCACATTCTTAACAGGTATAAGTGGTAGATATTAAATTAAATTGAATTGTGTGAATGAACTTGGTGAAAATCATACGTCGCCAGTTTTATCTTCAAGGGATAACAAAAAAAGGGGGGGGGGGTTATTAATTTGATTCCAAATGGCTTCTAATGTATAATATATTTATGCAATTATGTTTCTAATAAATTTATTGCTTCATAACGTCTTGAACAATTGATTCTTTGTGGATACTTTTGTACTTTTAGGGGATTAAATTATCAAATATTAGCTGCTAAAAATGATATGAAACAGATTTCATGCAGACTCCAGTTACCTTTAGTCAGCAATTCTAGTTGGAAGTACGGAGACAGCAGGTTTTAAATTACAGTTACAGAAGTTTATATCCGACACATAATTTTAATACAAGTATTCAGTTTGTGGGTGAGGTATAAGCTGACCACAGTCACTGTTTGTTTTATACTATACAAACCATGCATTAAATTATTATTTTGTTTGAGTCAATCCAACATTTTTATTTTATTTACCTTGTGTCAATGGGAGGAAATTTGGGTTTTTAACACTGCTTGTCCAAAAATGGTTTCATTTACCGTTCATGAATATTCATGGTTTCTGCTGATGAATATTCATGCTTATTCATGTTTTTTCATCATCATCATCTAAATTCATGTTAATTAATGTTCATTTCAGGTTGCATTTACAATTCATGGATTCTTCATGATTTCTGCTGATGAATATACATGAATATTATATTCATGTTTTTTTATCACCATCCAAATTCATGTTAATTCATGTTTATTCCAGGTGGCATTTACCATTCATGGATTATTTATGGTTATATTCCAGGTGGCATTTACCATTCATGGATTATTCATGGTTATATTCCAGGTGGCATTTACCATTCATGGATTATTCATGGTTTCTGCTGATGTATATACATGAATTATATTCATGCTTATTCATGTTTTTCCATCACCATTAAAATTCATGTTTATTCCAGGTGCCATATATCATTCATATCAATTCATGGTACTGCTGATGAATATTCATGAATATTCATGAATAATTCGAGAATAATGATAAATAATTCATGATCAGGAAAGCAGGGAATAAAAATAAGTCACAGATATAAGATTTATTTTGTTTGTGTTTAGATCACCTGTGAGCTAAAAACATACATTTTTACAATTTTACAATAAGGCCACACAAACTTTATTTTTTGTTTTTTTGATTTTTGAAAGGTAAAAAAAAGATGCAAGTTCGTGCTACTTTTTAATTAATTCTTTTTTTAAGTCAAAAGATTCTTAATTTTTTTTTAAGTCAAAGGATTCTTAAATTTGATGAGGGATTCACATTTTTAGATTGTCGACACAGTATGAATAATATCATGGAGAGTAAAGACTTTTTTTAACCTATGTTTGTGTTTATATATTAATGTGTATGCCTATTGTTTGATTTATCAAGCCATTAAAATAATAATCAATCCATTAAAGAGTTTAAAGGTCATTAAAAGTAACAAGCCACCAATTAAACGAGTTAAATGGCCATTTAAGTAACATGCCAGGCATGAAGGAATTTTAATGGCAATTAAAGAAACATGCCAGGCATGAAAGAATTTTAATGGCAATTAAGGAAATGATCCATCCAATAAGATAATAATGGCCATTTAATTTTTTCATAGGTGTACCCATTACTGTTTCATGGTCATCAAATCAAATTTAATGGTTACTTTAATGCCCACTATCAATTCGGTTTAATGGCTTTTAAAATGCATTAATATAAATTAAGTTTCCCAGAGAAGTAATGGTGCTATTAATTACTGTTACATCTAATAACCATTAACCGTTATTGGAGAGATATTAATGGCCATTATCTTGTAAATTAATGCCCATTAATATAAATGAATAAATTAAGGGTTTAATACAATTAATGGCCATTATTCCCAGGTTCATAGTTTTTATTTAATGGTTAAATTTTAACTTTTTTAATGGCAAAGCCATTACAATTGTACCATTAAATGTAACTATAAATAATAGACCTCATTTAATGGGTAATTTTCATGGCACATTAATGGGTATTCTCACAGTAGTGATTGTTAGACCTAAATACATGTTTATAACATAGATATTCATTTATATGTACAAAGTGATTATATTAATAACATTATTCTGGGCCTCGGTGGCCGATTGGTCTTAGTAGTTGAACTACTGTATCACTAGCAAGTCAACACTGAGGTTGTGAGTTCAATCCCACACGTGCCAGGTGCCTTCGACTCTAATCTTAATTGACTAGGATTGTCATTTTTCCTACCGATGGTCGGTGGTTCTCTCCGGCTTCCTCCACCAATAAAAACTTACCGCCACGAAATAGCACAATAGTGTTGAAAGTGACGTTAAACACCAATCAATCAATCAATATAAGTAATATTGTACTAAAAATATCAACATAAAGTTTTTGCAGCATGTGATTACATTTGAAAAATAGTATTTATACAGTCCAATATTGGTCCAATTTTTAACTTTAGTCCAATATTTTTCCGTTTTGTCCACTTTTTTCATCTTGGTCATTTTTTTCTATAGTTTTATGAATAGATAGTTTCATTCTGTTTTTAACATGCTCCATCAACAGAATTACGTCTCTATTATAGATCTTGCCTCCTATCCAGAAAGGTATGGTCTTCTGCAAATCTGTTGCTATGGTAGTATAATGTACGTGTATTTCCCTTGACGTGTATAAATAACTGTTTGATTTAATGCTCAATTTCAACTTCAATTGTCATTCCTGAAATAAAATAAAACAAATCACTGAACTGAACAGATACAATACGTTACTCGATTGTTGTTTACTTAACGTCCAGTAGCAATTATTTATTACATGTTTAGGAAGTGAACAAATTAACATAAGTATAATCGGTAGGTCCTGTGGTAGGCGTCCATCAGAATGAAATATCCTCAATTTGAATTGCCTTTTGAAATTGAGGGTATATTGGATAAAGCCTTTTAACTGGCCACCTATAGAGCCTTCAAAGAGTTGTTGCAAGGGTTCTCACACGAAGCATTGGATTTAACATCCGCATTCTGACCGGATGTTGCTACCTATTTAAACATCTTACACAACCAAACGGACGCCCATTATACAAACGGTTTGAAGAAGATCAAAAGTGATACAGTACAACCTGTGACATTCTCTTAATTATGTCCACCCTCTTGTATGGTCAACATCAAATGGTGACCATTTATTGGGGTATTAAATCTTGAGATGTTGGCCTTTTATTGGGGTCATAAAACATAGATTAATGTTTAATCTAATTATGTCACCTGTTGAAATCAATCAGGGTTGAAATTGTCAGCTTGAATGTTTTAATAAAATTTACCTGTACGGGTAACTTATGTTTCTTTTAAAATTGACATTTTAGCCCATTGTTGAAATTGTAGAATAAAATGTTGTTTTAGTTATTTTATATTATATTTTGATTTCCGTCTTTAAATTTATTTAAAAAATTTTTTTTTAATGTTTTGATTTTGGTTATTTTGATTTGTTTTAGTTTGTATTTTTAATTTGTTTTTATTCATTTTCGTATGTTTTTCTTTAATTTGTTTTTTGTTTCTTTTTTTTAATTTCTTCTTGGTAAGAATCTTGTAAGATGTTGCAGTGGTGGAGAAATATGTGTACACATATGTGAATATAAATAATATCATTTTTTCAAACTTTTTAGTATATGCATGTTTATTTTTAAGTACATGTATAAATAAGATGTTGTCATTTTTCATTTTAGGATTCTATAGTATTATTGATGTGTCATCAGATAGTAAAATTCTAATTACATTTATCACACTTGCCATCAAAGTAATTCTAAACATAGCATGGATAATAAATGTAATATTTAAAATTATTTTCTGAAGCAACAGCAATTTCTGAAACAGTTTCATAGAAAAAGAAAATGATGTTTGTTATAATTTAATGATAGATAATATTCATTAAACTATGTAATTTGAGTTTGATGGTAGATAATATAAATACAGTCAGAACAATGATGCATTACACATTGTCATAATTAATTGTCACATTAACAATACAATAGTTTTCATTCACACAGATGCAATTGTAAAATCAAAATTATACTAAAACATGATCTTCTTTGGCTGTTTAACTGAACGTCTTAGGGCTTGGTTAATCTTTGCTACTACCATGAGTTTCCAAGCTTGTGGCTGCTTTACCTCAAGGTAGAAGTGGCAGAAATACTGCATGAGGAACTGAACACGAACCGGGTCCAAAGGAATTTTGTTGTTCTTGAAGTCACCATGGTAGGAAAAGTAGCGTCTCAGTCAATCTTGTGTATAAAGTTATGGGGAAATAATTTCCAACAAATGTTTTGCAAAATTACCCGTCCTGTAAATGAATGGAACTCCTGAACAAGGTCACATGCTGGTATCTGGAACTGTGATGGTATGTGTTGAAATTTATTGTCTATTACATTGTACATACTAGTTGACGGCACTAATCTAGTGGATGATGTTGGAAGTCTGCTCACAGTAGGTGATGGTATAGGAGTTTAATGCTGCAGGTGAGTTGGCTGGTTACGGAGAAAATAATGATGTTGGGATAAGTTGTCTGGGCTGTCTTGTTGGGGTAGCTGTCATGTTGCCCCATGGTCTGTTTGGAGTAAAACTCTGAGTTGCTGTTGTAGTTGGCTTATCTACTAGGCTCTGTACAAGTTGAATGAGTCATTCATTTTGTTGCTGAAGTTTGTTCATGGCAACATCTTGAGCTAAGGACCTACCGTTAAGGACATGCACCTGGGACTTCAGGTCTGTTATGGCTAAGAGTACGCTGTTACCAGTTAGCTGTTTGTCAAGTTGACATGAAACTGTAGCTACAATTGGTGATTGTGGAGTTGATGGTGTTGGTAATGGTGGTGTAGGTGGTTGTAGTTCAATAGGCAGAACTGGTGATGGTGTTGCTGATCTAAACTGATAAGGGTCATCTATAGCAGCAGTGTCATGTATTCCCTCACACCAACGGATAACTTTGGCATCTGGCTTTAATTTTGGCACTGTAACTCTTTTTCTTTTAGGAGGGGGTGGTACATCTGGTGATGAATCTTCACTTGATTTGGCTGGTGAAGATGGTGAAGATACTGGGGAAGCATCTTTTGGCAAAGCATCTATGTATATCTTAAGTTGCTTTCTCATTTCCAACCATTCACCAGTAGCAATCATTTCTGCTTCTGCTGATGAGTCACCCTAAATTCTGTTATAGTGGTCTCCAATTTTGATTCTGCCCTCAGCTAGGATCTTAGATCTTGGTACTATAAGTAGTTAAGTCTGGTCTTGTCTACCCCATTTGACTAAGACATGGCTATATTCTTTGGTGATAGTTCTGGCAGTGATTTTTGTAACGGTACTTAATTATGATATCAAAGTAAAATGCATTTATTTTTATTAGGTTGGATTTTTATTTTGCTGGGTAAATGTGATTGGGTCAAAATGGATAGCTAAGTCCTGTACATTATGAACTCGTCTGAAGATTAATTGGTCCATTCAATGTTTGAGACAATTGGCTTCATTTTGTGTACATGCCCACCAAGCTTGATAATTGATCCATGAAATAACATGAGAATTACTTACTGGTTAAAACAACATCCTTTAGAAAATTCAACATAGTTAAACTGATAAAAGGAAATTGCGATTTATTTTGTATGCATTTACATTTATCTAAATGCAGAAACAATCTTGATGATAACGATCTCTAATTCATAAAATTAAAACATGGGCAAAATGTAAATAATATTTTTTTAAGATACAGAAATAAATACACCTTATAGAACCTTAATAATTCAAAATCAAAAGTATGAGGGTCTGGATGGGGTTTTCAGAATAGAGACTAATGGGCCAATACTAAGTGAAAAAAATACTAAACATTTGAAGAATAGAGAAGAAAATAAAGGATAGAGATTTTTGTAAGGTGCTGATATCTAAAAAATAGAGAATATTTGTCAAAATTAAAAAAGTACCAAGCAACAATGGATTTAAATTTAAAGAATACAGAATAGAAGAACCCCCCAAATAGACCCTCAGAATTTTGTGAAATCAGAAAGTTTAAGTCGGTTGTTATAAAAACAATTTGAAAAAAATGCACAACTAATGAGGAAGATAATTGATGGTTATCTAAACACAGGACGTTATTTATGACTCTTTGATGTACATGTACAAATGTATAACCGTTAAGCAACTTTTTATCATGTTACAGGCATATATATATATATATATATATATATATATATATATATACAGATAAAATGGGAGTTAAATGTTAAAGAATTGGAGAATTAAGGGCAAAATAAAAACAAAAAGATGTTAAAATAGATGTACAAAATGTATAAGAATATTGTGACACGTTTAAAACCCCATCTGGAATGATTGACAAACTTTTCTTTGACAACTTATGATTTGTTCATTCGATTATTTTGAGTGTGTGTGTCTATTCATTTGACAGCTCAAGATATGACACTTAAATCATATATATTATACCAGCGACTCTTTTCACAAAAAATCTTACGATTAAAATTGATCGTAAGTTATACTGAAATGTGTATGACTTACGACTATTTTTACTCTTAAGATATTTTGTGAAAAGAGCCGCTGGATTCTAAAGAATATACATACTGGCGCCAAAAACCTTTTTTAAACATCCTTTTTGTCCATGTTTATTCTAGGTGGCACATTTATTGATATCCATTTAAGAGATTTAAAACTAGAGGCTCTCAAGAGCCTGTGTCGCTCACCTGTATTTACTGATGCTTTGGAAATCATGTAAAATAAGGTTAAAATCATAAATTAGATATTAGATATTATAATGATATCTAAGATAATAACAAAAAACTGCAAAATTTTTGTAAAATTACTAACTCAGGGGCAGGAACCCAACAACGGGTTGTCGGATTCGTCTAAAAATTTTCAGGGCAGATAAATCTAAATCTGATGAACATTTTTGCCACCTGTCAGATTTGCTCTAAATGCTTTAGTTTCAGAGATATAAACCAAAAACTGCATTTAACCCCTATGTTCTATTTTTAACCAAGTCGGCCATGATGGTTGGAAAGCGGGGTCATCGGACAAATATTTTAAACTAGATATCCTAATAATGATTATGGCCAAGTATGGTTAAATTTGTCTCAGTAGTTTCAGAGAAAAAGATTTTTGTAAAAGATTACAAAAATTTACAAAAAATTGTTAAAAATTGACTATTAAGGGCAATAACTCCTAAAGGGGTCGACTGACAATTTTGGTCATGACAACTTATTTGTAGATCTTACTTTGCTGAACATTATTGCTGTTTACAGTTTATCTCTATCTATAATAATATTCAGGATAAAAACCAAAAACTGCAAAATTTTCTTAAAATTACCAATTCAGGGGCAGCAACCCAACAACAGGTTGTCAGATTTGTCTGAAAAATTCAGGGCAGATAGATCTTGACCTGATAATCAGTTTTACCGTGTGTGTCAGATTTACTCTAAATGCTTTGGTTTCAGAGATATAAGCCAAAATCTACATTTTACCCCTATGTCCTATTTTTAGCCATGGCGGCCATCTTGGTTGGTTGGCGGGGTCATCGGACACATTTTTTAAACTATATACCCTAAAGATGATTGTGGCCAAGTTTGGTTAAATTTGGCCTAGTGGTTTTAGAGGAGAAGATTTTTGTAAAAAGCTAACGACGACGCCGACGACGACGACGACGACGGACGACGACGACGACGACGGACGACGACGACGACGACGGACGACGGACGCCAAGTGATGAGAAAAGCTCACTTGGCCCTTTGGCCAAGTGAGCTAATAAGGAGTTGAAACTTCAGTTATAGTTTGAAAAAAAAAATTCTATTGAGTAGCGTAAATTTCTATCACAAAATGCCGAAGTTTAAATTAAGTCATCGCATAGACTAGAAATAGCGTCCCTGTACCGCAAAAATTGGAAAATTAGCGCCATAGTCCGCTATTTGTCAAATCAACATGGAATAGGTGTAAACTGGAGTACAGTACGCAATGTTATCTTGAAGTAGAAGTCGGGGGATCTTTTCGCCGAACTGAATAATTTCATCAAATTCCGAAAAGTGACTGACGGTGACATTTCAACAGTTAGATCAGCATTAGCCGAACAATGTACAATGACTGCAACAGATGATCGGCGTGAACTTGTTAGTAAAGGGTCAGTTTTGTCAAAAACTACTGTTCAAAGGATAATTTACGAAGCCGGGTACACCACCAGTGCACTGCGTTATTGTCAGATGATTAGCTAGACAAATAAAGTGAAACGGGTCACTTTCTGTCAATAGTTGATAACAGACAATGACAATTTCGCAGACATCATCTTTACAGATGAATGCACCGTCCAGCTACATGATAATAAAGTAGTAATTTACCGCCTGAGAGACCAAGTAGCACAACCTATTCCGCAACCTAAGCATGCATTCAAACTTTATGTTTGGGGAGGTATAAGTCGCAGTGGAACAACTCGTCTTTTAATTTTTGACGGCATACTACGATCAGATTTTTTTGTAGATAAAATACCGAAAATAACATAAAATATATTTTATTCATTTGTGTCTAATATATACAAGTAAACCCATATACTCTGAATATTACTTTTTGCTTTGCCGTAAAGTCTATAATTATCGCATGTATACAAAGTTTTCCGTCTTTATCTCACATCTCAATTTTTAAATATAATATTTTTCTTTATAATTGCAATTATTTTTTTCTAAATTAATTTTCAAATAGATTATTTCTTTCGAGAAATTTTTTTTTTTTACTAATACGTAAACACATTCGTATTTGCCTGCAGACAGACCTGAAAAGTAAAATAAGTTATAATTTTAAATCGATGTGATGATTTAGAAATTTATAATTATGATAACAGCTTATGCAGAATTCTGTCAAAACACATAAACTGTGACACCTTGAACATACATGTAATTAAGATTTACATGAGATGCCTCACCTGTTATTACTTTATGTATTAAATTAATCACCTGGTACAATTGGCACGTTCCTGTACGCTTGACTGGGGACATTTAATCCGATAATTACCTCGTTTGTTAATTAAACAGAAGGTGAACATATGTTCGACATGTAGGGACATCATGGTCACCATAAATTTTATGGCCAACATTCATAAGAGAATGTCACAGGTCGTACTGTATCATAATATTTCTTTTCCCAAGTCATCCTTGGTTGTAACTGTTATAAATTCTGCTTCAAACCCAACGTTTTATAGAATTATTCTTTTTTTACTTCCCACAGCAGTAGACGAATTAGAGTGAATGACAGGTAAATGAATGCTGGCAACAGTCAACATGCAGGACTACACTGATTAAAAAATATGTTAGTCTGCATACAATCATCATTTCATACAAACAGGTATGCACACACTCCTATTGAAATACAAACAAGTCCTAATAAGACAGTAATGGACAATCTTAAGAAAAAATACATGAAACAGGCTCAAAATCCAACTTAGAAAAACTGTTTAAAGTATATTTACCTAATATTTCATTTTTAATTGATTTAACATCCTCTGCAGAAACAGTTTTAGCCAAAATGTCGTTCAGCTCATCGGTATACAGCCTTGTTGGTGTGTTGTGGTGATCAAATCGTTTTAAAAGGTCACTTAATATATTACTTAACTCAATAAAACGTTTATCTTCAAGATTAAATATTTGAGAGTGTTGTAGTTCATTTCTTGTAAGTCTAATGCGCTCAATATCATCTCCAATAGATATATCTGTAGTCTGAATTCTTTGCCATTGACCGCCCCATCCATTAGAAGGAATATGTTTATTAAGTATCCTGTGCTCTTTGTACAAGTATGTTATATCACAATCGCTCCTTATGCGTAGATTTGGTTTATCTTGTTTTAAAAGGTCATATAAAACATCAGCAAGAATATTCAAAGCAATCATCCCCATCTTTGCAAAATTGGTTTCCTCTTTTGTGAACTGAAAAGAAGATAAAAGTAAGGTATTGTAATGTAAAATATGAAGAATGTATAAGGCTTAACATAAGTTTTGGTTGAATCAATTATCATTTAACTTGGTCAAATACTCATAGATTTTTTTCCAAGAAAAAAAAAACAACTTAAAAGTAAAAACAATGATGATGGTACCTTGCATCTGAAAGTAATTTTGTGTAACTCTTGCTAAACTTGATTTTTTTTTCACACAACCAAAAACTGGAAATGCTGTTCAAAACTTTAGGAGGAACATTTTGCATAGAAACATTTCACCAATATATTTCCTTGTACCATAAGCAAATGAAAAAGCGTGTGTTGTGTTTTATCTTTTTTTTTTTAAATTATCAATGAAAATGAAACAAAGTCAACTAAAGATATTCATGTTTAAAAAATTTCAACCATACTGTTTAAACTGGATCACAAATGTATTATTTACCATACATTGGAAGAATCCGGTCTTTACATGATAAATTCATGATAAGAAGTTTGTTTCAAATAAGTAATGCATAGCAGTATGATGACTATGAAAGAAGTAAGGTCTGTACAGACCATATTTGACCCTGAACATTGGGTCTATTGTTTCAAGATCAACATATTTCATATTCATGATGTTGATGACAATACATGTACTAAAGATATGTATAATTATTCTTGTCAACATTTTCTTGTCAAGCTTTGACATTTACATCTCCTAATTTGCCATTTGTATTGAATGTGACAAAATTGTTTTGATTTCTATCAAATTGAGTTCTATGGAACATACAGCGCAGGCTTTGACAAACTAAATATCCGAGGCGAATATTTTTATTGTGATAACAAATTAACATTATGTTAATAAACGTTTTTTGCTGACCAATGCGCTGTACGTTTCCGTTCCTAAAAACCAATGCAATGAACATATGCCTGTTAACATTGAATTTTTGGAAAATGTAAATATGTACTATTTGTGACACCAAGAAATAATATAAATGACCTCATTGTTTTAGGTATGCTTCATTGTAATATTGGTTAATACATCCTTATTTGAAATTTGAACCAGAAATAATAGCCATATAGAACAGTATCTTTTGCAACATACTGATTGCATTTAATGAAAAAAAAAATGGTTTACAAACCCAATGAAAATTCTCTTCTCACTTTAAAAACAAGAGGCTCTCAAGAGCCTGAATCGCTCACCTGTATTTCAGAGGAGAAGATTTTTAAATGTTAGCAAACTTGATGAACAAATTGTGTAAAATTGTCTTTAAAGGGCAATAACTCCTTAAGGGGTCAATTGACAATTTTGGTCATTTTAACATTTTTGTAGATCTTACTTCGCTGAACATTAATGCTGCTTACAGTTTATATATATCTATAATAATATTCAAAATAATAAAAAAAAACTGCAAAATTTTGTTAAAACTACCAATTCGGTGGCAGCAACCCAACAATGGGTTGTTCGATTCGTCTGAAAATTTTAGGGCCGATAGATCTTGACCAATTGAACAATTTGCTCTAAAAGCTTTAGTTTTTGAGATATAAGCCAAAAACTGCATTTGACCCCTATGTTCTATTTTTAGCCATGGCGGCCATGTTTGTCGATGGATCAAAACTTCGGATACAATATATAAACTAGATACCCTAAGGAACATTTAGTTAAAGTTTGAAGGTATTTGGCCCAGTAGTTTCAGAGGAGAAGATTTTTGAAAATAGTTGACGACGACAGACGACGGACGCCAAGTGATGGCATAAGCTCACATGGGGCCCTTTGGGCCCTGGTGAGCTAAAAACTGATACTACTTTAATTCAGCTGTCTCTGTATGTTTATCAACATGATGACAGTTACGTCATATGTTGAACACACACTAACTAACTTCACATGAATTCTAGTAGAGCGTAGCTGTTAGTGTATGTTTATCAAAAAGACGCGAAAGATACCAGAGGGACAGTCAAACTCATAGATCGAAAATAAACTGACAACTAAATGGCTAACAAGAGGCTGTCAGAGTGACAGCAAACCGGATTTTCCTGCAGAGGTCGAACCCTGAACTGTTGAGCAAGTATGGACACTACATTTAAGCTTAAAACAGCTCTGAATTTGAATTGTGATTGAATATTTGACACTGCATAGGTTTGTGACACAAAATGAATGTGGTTTAAGAACTGAAATACTTGAAATTGGACATCTAAATACCTATTATGGTCCAATATCAAAAATCTAAGTACATATTAGAATCAGCATATCAAAGAACCACAAGAATTCAATTTTTGATGAAATCAGACAAAAGTTTAATTTAAGACCCTTTGGACCTCAATGTGGACCAATTTGATAAAGGAGCCCACAATCCAAAATATCTCAATACATGGTTAGATTCAGCATTTCAAAGAACCCCATAAATTATTTTTTTGTTGAATCAAACAAAGTTTAATTTTGGACCCTGATTTGGACCAACTTGAAAACTGGGCCCAAAAATCTAATATTTAAATACAGGTTTAGATTCAGCATTTGAAAGAACCTTATATATATTTAATTTATGTTGAAATGAAACACAGGTTTATTTTATCCATAATATTTTCTGTGCAAAGGGAAATAACTCAAACTGGACAAATAGTTCTCTAAAATAAGATATAATGCAATTTTTCAAATTATAATCAATAATATAATAACAACAACCAGTGATGACTAAGTTCTCTAAAATTAGATATGATTTAACACTCAAACATTGTTAGAATCAGCATATCAAAGAACCAAAGAATTCAATTTTTGATGAAATCAATCAAAAGTGTAATTTAGGACCCTTTGGACCTCAATGTGGTATTATCTTATTAATAATGAAAAGAAATACAGGTTTAGATTAAGCATTTCAAAGAACCCTATATATATTCAATTTATGTTGAAATCAAACACAGTTTAATTTTGGACCCCAATTTGGACCAACTTGAAAACTGGGCCCAAAATCAGAAATCTAAATATATGTTTATTAATAGACAATATAAGCTTAGTTTTTAAAGAAGTTTACTATATCAAAGAAAAAAATATATAGCATTCAGAAAATTAGTTTTTACAGAATAACAAACAAACTTTCCATAAAATTCTACATACAATTTACCAAAGAAAAGAAGAAAAAAATCCAAAGTTTTATTTATCATTAATACAATGTCATTTCAAAATCTATAAAACTTATTAGTAACAAGAAATAATTGTAACAGAATGCTGTTACGAAGTCTCCCAAACAAAGCTCCAATAATTCGTCATTCCCATTGTCGCTTGACATTGGGCAATGTCCAGTACAATTTGGTTTATGATATGCATTAGTGACGCCCATGGATTGACCCTGTACATGTATGTCATTCAAATCTTCTTGAAATTATGAACAGGAATTTATATGGTTTAGGGGTGGAGATCTCGACCGTTTACAAGTTTCAAAAGGGGGGAGGGGGAGGTGATCCCCATGGGACTCTCCCTTTATTTCATATGATTTGTTTTTTTGTCCCATACAACAATAAATATGTTTCGGGGTGGGGATTATGACCGTTTACAAGTTTTCAAAAAGAAGGGGGGGGGGTTACCCCAGGGGATTTCCTCTTAATTTCCTTTCGATTTGTTTTAATGTCCCATTCAAGAATATATATGGTTTAGGGGTGGGGATCTAGACCGTTTACAAGTTATCAAAAAGAAGGGGGGTTGGGTGACCCCCATGGACTTCCCCAATGTTTTATTTGATTTGTTTTATTGTTCCATACAAGAACATATATGGTTAAGGGGTGGGGATCTCGACCGTTTACAAGTTCTCAAACAGGAGGGGGTGGGGTGACTCCAGGGGACTCACCTTTTATTTCATATAATTTGTTTCATTGTCCCAAACAAGAATATATATAGTTTCAGGGTGTGGATCTTGACCGTTAACAAGTTTTCAAAAAGAAAGGGGGTGGGGGTGACCCCCATGGACTTCCCCTATATTTCATTTGATTTGTGTTATTGTCCCATACAAGAATATATATGATTTAGGGGTGGGGATCTGGACTGTTTACAAGTTCTTAAACAGGAGGGGGTGGGGGTGACCCCAGGGGACTTGCCTTATATTTCATTTGATTTGTTTCATTGTCCCATACAAGAATATATATGGTTTCGGGGTGGGGATCTTGACCGTTTACAAGTTTTCAAACAAAAGGGGGGGGGGGTGACCCCAGGGGATTCCCCCTCCATTTCATTTGATTTGTTTTATTGTCCTATTCAAGAATATATATGGTTTAGGGGTGGGGATCTCGACTGTTTACAAGTTATCAAAAAGAAGGGGGGTGGGGTGACCCCCATGGACTTCCCTTTATATTTCATTTGATTTGTTTTATTGTCCCATTCAAGAATACATATGGTTTAGGGGTGGGGATCTCAACCGTTTACAAGTTCTTAAACAGGATGGGGTGGGGTGACCCCAGGGGACCCGCCTTTTATTTCATTTGATTTTTTTTATTGTCCCATACAACAATATATATGGTTTCGGGGTGGGGATTTTGACCGATTACAAATTTTCAAAAAGAAGGGGATGGGGATGAACCCGGGGACTTCCCAAATATTTCATTTGATTTGTTTTTTTTTGTCCCATACAATAATAAATATGGTTTAGGGGATGGGATCTCAATCATTTACAAGATAAAAGCACATTCTCAAATTGAAGGGGGGTGGGGGTAAGAATATATATGGTTTAGGGAGACTTAATTATCTACAAAATGTCTAATAATGAACAGTAAATTTCACATTTCATTTATACAGTCCTTCTAGTAAATTTCAAACTTTATATATACAGTCCTACAGATCTTATCAGGAAACAGTAAATTTTCAAATAAATCTGTCACTCCAATGATATTATATGCTTAGATATAACCCAGATCTAATTAATAATTAATAACGTGATTAACTTCAAAATGTCTAATAATATAGCTTATAATCATTAACACTTAGGAAATAGTTAATTTTCAAATAAATCTGTCACTCCAATTTTTATTGTA